GGTTGAAAGACTTACTATTATAGAGATGTTGAATTTCCCAACAGTGTTCTACAGATTCAGTGTATACCCATTTGAAATCCCAATAGGTTTTTTTTTTATATAATTTAATAAGCTGATTCTTAAGTTTAGAAAGAAAAGCAAAGGGCCAGTTAAGCAAGACAATCTTGAAGGAGAGCAAAGCTAGATGATTTAGGCTGCCAACTATCAAGACTAATTATAGGCCTGGTGTGGTGGCTCACACCTATCATCTTAGCACTTTGGGGAGGTGGGAGGATTGCTTGAGGTCAGGAGTTCGAGACCAGCCTGGGCAATATAGAGAGACTCCATCTCTACCAAAACTGAAAAAATAAAATAAAAAATTAGCCAGACATGGTGGTGCATGCCTGTAGCCCCAGCTACTCAGGAGGCTGAGGCAGGAGGCTCGCTTGAGCCCAAAAGTTTGAGGTTACAGTGAGCTATGATTGTGCCACTGCACTCTAGCCCAGGTGACAGAGTGAGATCCTATCTCAAAAAAAAAAAAAAAAAGACTATAAAGTTACAGTAAATCAAGTCAGCCTGAAATTAGCACAGAGAAGGACAACTGTTACTCTTGGAACAGGAGAGTCTAGTAACAGAAGCTCACAGATACAGTCTCTTGATTTATGACAAAGACAGCACTACTCTGCAGTGGGGAAAAGGAACTGGGTTAACCAGATAGCCATCTGGAAAAAGCTTCATTTTGACCCCTTTGGTAGGCAGAATCAGTAAAATGGCCCTGCAGAGATGTGCCCCCTAATCTCCAAGTCCTATGGCTATGATGACATATCCCTCTCATGATTATGCTAAGGTGGAGAGGAATGCACGGGGTTTCTCGGTAGGCAAGAGTCCCCAGCTAACAGGCAGCAAGGAAACAGGGACCTCAGTCTTAGAACCACAATGAACTGAATTCTGCCAACAACATGAATAAGTTTAGAAGCTGAATCTTTTCCAAACCTTCCAGATAAGAGCCAGCCTGGCTGACACCTTGATTTCAACCTTGTACTACCTTGAGGCGAGATCCCAGCTGAGCTCACATCTGACCTACAGGACTGTAAGCTAACAAATGGTGGTTGTTTTAAGCTGCCAGGTTTGTGGTCATTTGTAACACAGTAATTGAAAATGAATACAAGGCCGGGTGCAGTGGCTCATACCTGTAATCCTAGCACTCTGGGAGGCCGAGGCAGGAGGATTGCTTGAACTCAGGAGTTTGAGACCAGCCTGAGCAACAGCGAGACCCCTTCTCTACTAAAAAT